CTGTCCGCTGGCCGCGTGTTCCGCCACTTTGCTCCCCGTCCCCCTGGTCTGCAGACCAGGGAGACGGGGAGCAAAGCAGAGCAAAGCCAAGGAGCACGCGGGTAGCAGACAGCCCAGACGCATCTGGGCTGTCCGCTGCCCGCGTGCTCCGCTGCTTTGCTTCCTCTCCCTGGTCTGCTGGAGACCAGGGAGACGGGCCCCGTTCGTAACTGCAGATCCGACATAAGTCGGATCCGCGTAACTCGGGGACTGCCTGTACTCAAATCTGTGGGAGAGGAGTTTGTTTGGGCTCGGCTCTGTTTATTATTAAAGGTTGGAAGAATGACTGACAGGGAGATGAGAGGATCAGGGTGGGGCTATTAAACACAGTTTTAAAAGTTGTGTTACTTTTGATACTGGAAAGAAGAACGGCCAGAAGTAATCGGCTGTGTTTCTAGTATTTACCTGGATATATTGGTTGTCTTAAAATGAACCTCTTGAGTCACTAGTCAACTATCCAGGGCTATGATTGTGCAAAGATGAATGCCTTGGGTTTTGAAATCATGTAGTGAAAAGCTACTTTGAATATTTTAACTAGAACATGATATATTAGCTAATAAATCACAAATGAAAAACTATGTAAGATGTGCTCAGAAATAGCAGTCAACAGGCTGCTCAGAACAATGGGAAGGAGGAAGGAGGTATAAATTGAGGATACTCAGTCCGAAACACAACTTACAGGCATTAGCTGCCACTTACAATGTGGAAGACTCACTGATGTATGAGGTGCAATGGAAATCAATACACTATGACTCGATTACATTTCAAGATAGTTGTTTGTTACATTAGATTGGCTAAAAGGAAATGAAAGGGTATGTCTACACTACTGCACTAATCTGAACTAACTTAATTCGAATTAGTTAATTCGAACTAAGCTAATTTGAACAAGTACATCTAGACCTAAAAACTAGTTCGAATTAGCATTTTGCTAATTCGAACTAGCATGTCCACATTGAGTGGACCCTGAACCGAGGTTAAGGCTGGCCGGAACCAGTGCTGGCAGGGCATAAGGTTAGGACTTAGAGCGTGGAGCTGCTGTCTCAGGCTAGCCAAGGGCTGTGCTTAAAGGGACCCGACCCCCATCCCGCACAGACACTTCTCAGGGGTCCTCGCTTGCTTGTCTACCTCGATGAGGGACAGCAAAGCAGTCCTGACTTGGAGTGCCCTGAGTGCCCGCACTCGGCACATCACAGCACTCGGCCATCAGCCCAGCTGCACTTGCAGCAGGCTGCCATCCGGAGAGGTCAATTGGGAGGCCGCAGGAGAGCTTCCACCCCGAGGAGCCCACAGAGCCATTGGGGGCTCATACCCCATTCCTCCCTCACCTCCTTCCACTTACTCCTTCTCTAGCCCCCCTTCCTGATGTAAAAAATAAAGGACATGTATGTTCAAAAATAGAAACTCTCTTTATTTAACAAAACTGGGGGGGGGGGGATTAACCTCAGGGGAGACTGGGAAAAGGAGGTGGGAGAGGGGAAGAGAGAGGGTGGGAGAGGGGAGGGGGAAACCTGGAAGGAGGGAGCTGGAAGGGGGAAGAAAGAGGAAGGGAAGTATCAAACTATGGTACACCATATCTTTAGTACTGTCTACAGGTGTGATCTCCTCACCTCAAAAAAGATATTTTTGGCCTTGGCAAGGGTTCCGAAAAGGGCAACTAAAATGATCAGGGGTATGGAACAGGTTCCATATGAAGAGGGGTTAAAGAGACTGGGACTTTTCAGTTTAGAAAAAAGGAGACTGAGGGGGGATATGATAGAGGTCTATAAATCATGAGTGGTGTGGAGAGGGTGCATAAAGAAAAGTTCTTCATTAGTTCCCATAATATAAGGACTAGAGGACACCAAATGAAATTAATAGGTAGCAGGCTTCAAACTAATAAAAGAAAGTTCTTCTTCACAAATCAAATAGTCAACATGTGGAACTCCTTGCCACAGGAGGCTGTGAAGGCTAGAACTATAATAGAGTTTAAAGAGAAGTTAGATAAAGTCATGGAGGTTGGGTCCATGGAGTGCTATTAGCCAGGTGGTAGAAATGGGGTCCTGTGGAAAACAGCTTGTGTTGCACAGGCAGCCTTAATTCTGCCCTTTCTTCACTTTTGAGTGCTTGGCTTTGGAAATGTAATGTTCTTCTAGCACAGTGTGTGCGTGGGAGACATCCTAGATTTTTGAAAATAAAAAAACCACCCCTAATTCTGTTTACTTCTTAATCGTGTCATATCGACACCCATGTGTTTCATCAGCAGGGTTGGACACTTTAAATCGGGAGTCGGGAGCTATTTTGGGGTTAGGGGCTGCTGACCCACAGGAAAATCAGTCAGGAGCTATACAAGTGAGAAGCAAAAAACCTCCTCATTGACATGCTCCCCCCAACTGAGAAGGCAGAAGCGCAGCGGGAGAGCCTAGGGCGACTGGGGCCTGCTTGAGTCCCCGCTTGCCCCGTATTCCCAGCTGCTCCTCTGCCTTTTAAATGTAGGAGCCACGGATGGTTCTTATTGCATTTAAAAGGCAGAGGCACAGCAGGGACAGAGAGCACCCCACCTCCCCCTTACCAACTAATTGAGTAGTCAGTGTAAATTCTATCGACTCGATTAGCTGATAAATGAAAATTTAACATCCCTATTCCAATGAAATAGTGAATCTCAGAAATATTAGGTTCCTCTTAAGGCCTGGAGGGGGAGTGTGCTGTAGTAGATACAGACTTTTCTCCCTACCTCCCCCAAATATGACCCATCCTGCCCAGTTTCTTCTAATTTGTCTGTGCTCCGGTCCAGTCTCTTCCCTGCTCCTGACTCCTTGTCCCAGTCCCATTCTACTCACCTAGCCAGTGCCTGTTTCCACTACTTAGGCTTTTCATCCCAGTCTCTTTCCCCAGCCAGTCCTCGTCGCTCTCTTTGGACTTTCCTTTCCCCAGTCTGTTTCCTTACCTTGCTACTCGGTTTACACCCTTAGGGGTCCTTATCTGATCTCTCTGCCCAGCCTCCAGTCATACCCTCAGCCACCATGTTCCCCATCGTTGCTGGATTGCAGGCCTAGTCTCCTTTCCCAGACTTCTTCTCCATTCTCAATGTCCTTTACCCAGCTTTTCCCAGTCCATTTGGCCAGGAAGTCCCAGTTCTCCCCTGCATTCTAGTTCTTCATCAGATCTGATCCCTCTTTCCTCATCTCTCTCTGTCCCCCAAAAAAGTTTCCCCTCCCAGTTTTCCTATAAACTCTTGTCCAATCTCAATCTTGACCACTAGCTCACAGTCTGTCCCTCATTTCCCTGCCTGGCTCCCAGTCCTAGTCTCCTTGCCCCACCAGTCCCAGTCCCCCAAACTTCCAGTCCTAGTTTCCACTTCCTCCCCCTCCACCAGTCTCCCATTCCAGTTTTCCCCTCAGGTTCTTTGTCTCAATCTCCTCCTTCCCCTCACCTCCCATATTTGGCTCTTTCCCCCTCTTTCTTGCTTTCAGGTGCTTTATTCTTCCACATTGCCTGGGCATCAGCCGGAGGGAAGGGGGAAGTACTGAGAACAGGAGAGTCAGGCTCCCAGGTCTCCGTTCCAGTGCTTGGACTCAGACCTGGCATGGCCAAGAACAGTCAGGAAAACTGAAGAGGAAGGCCTGCTCAGCCCTAGCCTGCAGCATTCTCTGTGTAGATGGAATCTTCCAGGAGTTAAGCTGAGAAGCTCTGGCAAGTATCTAGTCAGAGGGTAAAATCTAAAATTTTTAAAGATTTAAAACTAGGTCAAATTTGAGTGGTTTTTTACACGGATGGCAAAAAGCAGATTCCTGATGCCAAGGTAATCTCTCCCTCCCCCCAAGTTTGAAGCCCCTTTCCTGAAGCATAGGGATGCTAGAGCTTCTCAAAGAAGTTGCCCAATATTTTAACATGGAGAACCTATTTCCCCCAGCCTTGTTCTTAAAATAGGCTGAAATTTTAGGGCTGTAACTTCCAAAGACTTTTCAGCCTGAAGCAGACACCCAGTATGTAAAATCACAGCAGAAATAGTTAAAGGCTGGCAAAGTTGTAAGCAATGGAAAATAGAAGTTTTGGGCAACATTAATGATAGGTGGTGCTACCAGTCCTTTACATAATGAAAGAGTTTTTGTGTTTTTTGGCAAAGATCGAGGACTGTATGAGCACAAAGTAAAGCTGGGCAAATGTTGTTGTTCAGTATCCCAGTGATTCATCAACAGTTCTTTGAAAGCTTCCAGTTACTGACCTTCTTATAATAACACCTCTTTAGCACATGCAATATGCTTTGTTTCAAAAAAGTGGCATTATAATAAGGGAGGAATGGAAATACATACGCACTGAATAAAAACCTATAAAATGTAAAGCAAGTTTGAAAGGCACAAACAAGCATGAGACAGAAAATGCTAGTGAAATAAACCTGTGTGAAAAACATTTCAAACACATTCTGAAAGCCTTTCATGCCATACCATGTATTATAACTAGACTGTTAAGAGTCAGAAAATGGCTGATAAAGGCATGTCTCCAGAACTGATAAACAAGTTTCATACAAATCTCTTGCATGCCATGTTACTTTTCCTCTAAGACAAATCTCTTCTTTAAAAATGTATCACAATCACTCTTTAATGCAATGGGAAAAAAAGAGCAGGTTTTTGTTTTTGGGATGTGCAAGCAGAATTATAGCACTTATTAAACTATCCCATGAAAACATTTGTACATTATAGGAAGGCATGTTAACTTAGGCATGTTAATATTACTCACATAAAGTTGCCCACATATGTGAGCCTTGAGGAGGGCATCTAAAAATATTAGTTTATAAGCAGTTGCTGTTTGCCTGTTTTCCACTAGCACCTCTTGTGGGCTGCGGTGCCCTGGGAAACATTACTGCAGAAGCCCCACCCCTCCCTTGGAAAGTTCATGGCAACCATCAATCAAAATTAGTTGCCTCTGGCAACCAACAACAAATCTGGCTGAGTTAATCACTGGGATCAAGCATGATGTGACATGGTTATTAGTACACTGAGTTCTGCTGAGAATTCCTGGCATCAGGAAGATTTAATCTCCAGGAACTTCTAGAAAGTAAGTATTAATGTCTGAAGGCTAACTAAAAGAACAGCAAATTCCAGGATTAATTTAAAACTCCTCCGGCTTCGTTGTATCCAGTTGCTGTAACTTAGTGGAGGAAAAAATCCAGAGCCAACTTTAAAACTAAGGATCAGAAGATCAAACTCTAGCTCCTTTGAGATGTGCTTGGCTAGATTATGGAGGAAAAGCTGCATGCTGAGCATTTCACTACTACCCACTATCTCTTGCAGTTTGCAACAGTGTTGCTCCAATTGAAAATCTGCAAACATGGCTATTATATGGTGTTTGCATTTTCATTTTCCTGGTTTTATTAACTGGTATATGGATTTGTATATATTTTATGGACTTGTTTGTATAATTCCCTGCACATCGTGGCAGAGCAAGAGGACATTCATATAGCATGTGGCCAGGAGCGGCCCTAGACAAGCTGCCGGCAACTGGCGCTCTAGGCGAAATGCGCGATTGGTGCCCCCGCCTCCAAAGCCCTCAATGGCCATTTAACTTGGCGCCCGAAGCGACCATGCGGTTGCCTGTATTGATGGGCCGCCACTGCATGTGGCATTCCTTTAGAGATACTGGGCCTCCTTCTCTATTTCAGTGATTTTTTTCAAACTATGGGCCATAACCCTGTACAGGGTAATGGAATGTCAAGCACTGGGTCTTATTGCTTCAGGGGGATCAGGTGACCAGTGGGGGTGCTAAGGGAGGCTGCCTGTCTGCCCTGGCACTGCAGACTGCGCTGCACCCCGGAAGCAGCCAGCAGCAGACCTGGCTCTTAGGTGCAGGAAGCAAGGGGGAGGAGAGACTACACAGGGCTCTGCGCACTTACACTGCACTCCCATTGGCTGGGAACCTTGTGCTGGTTGCTTCTGGGGTGCCAGGAGAGACAGGAAGCTGCCTTTGCACCGTCACTGCACTGTAGACCAGAAAACACGTAAGCTCCTCTGCCCCAGACCCAATCTTCCCCAAAGCTGGAGCCTCCTCCTACACTCCAAAGTTTTCATCCGCAGCCCTGCCCCGGAGCCCACACACTAGTCAAATGATGTTGGGTCGTGGGCATCAACAATTTTCTTCAACTGGGTCATGAGAAAAGAAGTTTGAAAATCACTGCTCTGAGTCTATCTTGGGTAGTCATTTGCACCAGCATAATACTTGTATAAAATGCTTCCATTCTTTCTTAGGAGCATCTTACACTCACTTCGGACTGGTGCAAAGTGCATGGCAGCAAAGAATAGGAAAACACAGATGCTTACACTCACGCACGTATCATGCCTTTGATGGGGAAGGGCCAGAAAACGGTGTGCAGCATTCCCAGTTGCAAGGGTGAATTAGGCAAGGGGAAGAGGGCAATAACACTCCAAACCCAGTAAGATCCAAACAGCAGGCCTCCTGGATTACATTTATTTTCCACTCGCTCTGTCTGCACCAAACCTTTTGTCTTTGACAGCAGGAAGCCGAGGGAGGAGGAGGAAGGGATAAAGAAAGGTTAATTTAGAAGACCGTAAGTGGAGCACCTTTATATTCTGCTTCCAGATCCACTAAGATTTCAGATGCAGAAGAGAGCTTCTGTTCCTCAGCTCTGCATTCTTTCCTGAACGCCGAATGTAGAGAAGAGGCCTCTGTCAGGTGGGAGGGGAATGAATGCTGCTGCAATAGAGCATTTCTCTGCCCAACAAAACCTGGCTCACTTTTGTGGAAACTCAGCTATGTTCACACTCTGTGACACTTTCCTTGAGGTGTGGTTTGGCCCAGTTGTTCTGTCTATTCTTCGAAGAGGGCCCTAGGAGAAACATGGCACTTTTCAAAGAAGTCAAGTCAGAGGTCATCATTGGCTTGGCTTGACACTCTCACATGTATTTTAGACCAGGAACTAGAATGATTTTCTCTAATGTAAAAGGTGAAAAATTCAGCAAAGTTTTAGAGCTCTCACTTATTCAAGATCTAAAGATAACTTCCTCCTTTCATTAATTCATTAACAAAACCACAAACGGTATTTATATCGTGTTACTTCACGGCTAGTGCATTGCAGCAGTTATGGCAGAAAAGTATCCAGCAATGTAATTATTGCAGCAAACTTGCTGCCCTGATCACTTCTGACATCCATTCCATTCAAGAGGAAAAGTGTCTCCATGTGGAAATCAATGATTAAGACAAAGTTGCGTATTGGGTAGAACAACTCAGATGTTCAATTCCTGGGTCTGCTGCTGCCTTGATATGTGACTTCAAGCTAGTCATGTCACCTCTTCGTGTCTCAGTTTTCTCATTTGTCAGATGGACATACTGGTACTTCAGTTGTAATGCACCTTTAGATCTACAGGCAGTCCCCGGGTTACGTACAAGATAGGGACTGTAGGTTTGTTCTTAAGTTGAATCTGTATGTAAGTCGGAACTGGTATCAGCCGCTGCTGAAACTGATCAGTTTCAACAGCGGCTGAATCTGGACGCCAGTTCTGACTTACATAGGGTATGTCTACACTACCCCGCTAGTTCGAACTAGCGGGGTAATGTAGGCATACCGCACTTGCTAATGAAGCCCGGGATTTGAATTTCCCGGGCTTCATTAGCATAAGCGGGGAGCCGCCTTTTTTAAATCCCCTCTGCTTCGAACCCCGTGCAGCGCGGCTACACGGGGCTCGAACTAGGTAGTTCGGACTAGGGTGCCTATTCCGAACTACCGGTACACCTCGTTTCACGAGGAGTAACGGTAGTTCGGAATAGGAACCTAGTCCGAACTACCTAGTTCGA